GGCGGCTCCTGTGCCGGGTTCTGTCACCGATCCGTGACCTTGGGCACGGCGCCGCTCCCTGCCCTTCCCGCGGGGCTCCCGCGGCAGCCTCCCGTTGACAGGGCGCCTGGAAATGCGCCGAAAACCGTTTCGGTCTGCTGTCTCCCCCCATACCCCCCCCCGCGGTCCCCGGGGCCGCCGCCGTTGTGTAACCGAAGCTTCTCGCCGACGAGGCCCCTCGGGAGAGGATTCGTGCCGCTTCCCGAAAAGCCGGCCCCGCCGATCGGGCCGGAGGGAGAGCGAGCGGCGGAGCCGGTGACTCCGTTGTGCTGTCAAAGCTTTCCCGGGGAGGCTGGGAGACACCGTGACTGCCTCTATTTCATCGGCTTTTGGAGGGAAACTGCCTCTATTTCATCGGCTTTTGGAGGGAAACTGCCTCTTTACAGCTACTTTCCGTGCTTAATATATTTTAAAAGTTGATTGTGTAGTAAGGAAGTGACTGTCAGGGGTGTAAAACGTGTCAGAGTGGCCTGAAGGATGCCTGTCAAGCGGCCCGGCTGCCTTGCCGAGGTAGCCCCTTCCCCAAGGAGCATTGGATTTCCACAGTTTAGATTCTAACTGACATCTCTGTGCACGTTGGCTCTCGGCAGAGTCTGATTCTGTGGCAACAGTGGCAGGAGAAGGTTGGGGTTTAATCCTCCCTGATGCCTTCTTCGTGTGGCTTGGGGTCTGAAAGTTGTGGAAGTCACGGTTGCAGGGTCTGTAACTGTCAGTTAGGATACAGAGGAGAGGAGGTTCCCAGGCGGGAGATAAGGGCCCGGGGTTGCTGAGGGTTGACGTGGAAACGCTTTGAGATTATGCAACTCTTGCCGGAGGGTATCTCGGAACTTGTGGCAATAGATAAAAAGTTGCTTTTTGAAGTATTTTAGTCGTGTTTGAAGCAACAAGAAAAAAAAAAAAGTTGTTTGCCTGCTGCGAGAGATCCAGTGTGTTAAATCTGGTGGCGTTTTGGTATGGGAATGTGTTTTCAGCGAGTGACTTCTGTGGGGAGAAGGGAAGGAGACATCGCATTCCTGTGCCTGTCAGCATGGTCCCCTCCAGATGAAGAATCGAATCACTGCTGTTTCCGACCCAACTTAGCCCCCGCAAGCGCTTCTTCCCGAGGAAGAGAAGGAGATCTGTGTGCTGTGAACGCTATGTTTGTCAAGGAGCCCTCGTTCCTCCGCTGGGACTGCGGCCGGGAGGGGGATGAGCTTCCGCAGGGAGCCGGTGGCGGCTCAGCTGTGGGAAACTGTTGCGGTGTTTCCTCTGCAAACCCAGAGGGTTTTGACGTTGGTGAAGATGGAGACAACCCTCGGTACTTCTGCTGTGAGACTTTTCTTCCCTCTTTTTAGTCAAATATCGTGTAAAGAACCATCAGGTGGGCAGCTGATGGCTGAAAAACTTGACGGAGTAATGGGAAAATTCACAGCTGGCTGATAAAAGCCCTCAGTGTGAACAGCCAGGGCTTTTCCCAGAGCTGCCTTTTATTTCTAGAGCAAGGAAATATCCCCAAATCCCCCTTCCTGATTTTTTTAAGTTTTACTGAATGATGTTTTCTACTGATAAAAGTAACTCTTGATGCTTCACTGCAGTGAAGGCAGCGTCAAGTTGGCGCTTCAAAGCGATTCTAGACACGTCTCCAAGTCATCCCTCAGCCGCTCTCCTAACAAACGAGAGCCAACTGCTTCTACAGACACTCCTGTCCGGGTGTCGGCTGCCAAAACATTGAGCGGTTTTGCCAGGTGCCAGCAATCCCGCAGCCGGATCACCGCTGGCAGCCTCGGGGAAGAACCCACCTGTGCTTGGTGCTGCGGGATGCCGGCCTGGCTCTCCTGCCAACCTGGCCCAGCGCCGCTTCGTGCTTTATCACCTCCAGATTAAATATTTCCCCCTTTAAACTGGGCTGGCGCTCCCCAGCCGGTGCAAGCGCATGGTGTTAACTCCCACTTCACTGGGACGGGACGTGGATCTTGGACATTCCCGTGTTAAGCTGGTGTCTTATTTTAAGGATTAATGCGCTCAGTTAGCGTCACCTCTGTCTCCTGGGTATCTCTGGATCCTGCAGTTCTCCTAAATGAGTGGGAAGGCCTGGTGGCAGCTTTCAGCTCCCTCACAGTAAGCCATAATTCCTTCTTTTAGAAGGGGATGGGGATTGTGGGGATTGATATGTGGTGTAAAAATAGGGATTACCAGTATCCAGTGTGTTTTAGGGCCCCACTTTCCCTCTGCAGTTCTCTGCTCGTCGTGGGCTGGGAGACTTAATTTTGCGGGTTATAGTTTCTGTTGTTTCTTAAAAGGACCAGATTTTGGGTTGGTAACGTGATTTTTCACGTGGAGGGCGCAGGCTCTTTCTGACTGGCCTGCTGCGTCCCTCTGCTGCTCTCACCTTCATTAGAAATGGCTCTCGTTAGCTGTTAGTGACATCATGGTTTCTTTCAATATCCCTTGAATCGATCGATTTCCTTAAGGCGGATGTGAGAGAGCCTGGCAAACCCACATTTAGTTCTTCCTCATTTCTTGGTGGCTTCCAAACTCTTGCACTTCGGGGTTTCAGCCGCCCCCTACAACGCAATATTTTATTAAATCTGTGATTTCTGGGGCTCCCTGATGATTTTCCGCTCCGGAGCAGGAAGGGGATTGCCCTTGAATTCCAAAGGCCTGGGCTGCAAATTCCTATGTACAGAAACAGCATCCTGCCGTGCGACCTGTCTCAGCGTGTGCCTTCAGAGCAGAGCAAACGAGTCTGAAATCAAACCATTCTCACAACTGCTGGAAAAAAAAAAAACAAACACCAAACCACCAAACCAAATGGGTTCTTTTGGCTGGTTTTCCCCCCGTTTGGTATTTACTGGAAAATAATGGGAATAGCAGTAGCAGGAAATGAGAGAGGGAGACGCCCAGGGCGATAAAGCAGCTGCTGCACCCCTCAAGCCCCCACCTTGTCCCCTCGAATTCACCTCATTTTGGGTTGTTCGAGAGGCCACAAGTTTCCTGCAGCGCCAGAGAGCGTGTTTGCCTCTGGATTACAGTGCAGCAGGTCTCTCTGGCTTTATTAAGATTAATTAATAGGTGCGTTTCTCTCTTGCAGGCTGGTGGTAAGGCGGGGAAGGACAGTGGGAAGGCCAAGGCGAAGGCGGTGTCGCGCTCACAGAGAGCCGGGCTGCAGGTGAGGCACAGCGGCGCCTGCTGGTTCCCCAATATCATCATAAAATGTGAATTTCTGAGTAAAACCTCCACTTCCTGATGGGCAGGTTGCCCCAAACCCTCTTCTTTTATTTTTCTTTTTGGGTAAAAAACTTAATGTTTTGTGATTTGTGTCGTCATCATGGAGGGATGAGGACCATGGGGGCTGTTTGCTCCCAGCTGTGTCCTGACTTGGGCAGGATCTGTCTCTCCTACAGAGAGGGTGTGAGGATTAATTTGGATAATTATGATGGAATCCCATGGGGAAAAGTGCGGGGAAGATCTGGCTTTGTGTCTCCCTCAGCCGTGCCCTCGTTAAAACTCATGTTAACGTCATTAACGTCATTCTAGGAGCTCCTGGAAGCCGTAGACACGCAGGGTGGGAAGTCGCTTGGGGCCTATGGTGTATGGGGGGCTCTAGGTGTTAAGGAGGTGTTGATTGCTCCCACCCCAGTTCCCGGTGGGCCGGATCCACAGACACCTGAAGACTCGCACCACCAGTCATGGGCGAGTGGGTGCCACCGCTGCCGTCTACAGCGCCGCCATCCTCGAGTACCTCACTGCTGAGGTAGGTCCCCACGCTTTGCCTTCCTCCATTTAAAAAAACCAAACCAAAACAAAATATAAATAAAATAAATTAGAAAAAAAAATAAATCCTGCGTCCCTCGGGATCCCGAGTGTCTTCCCGATTTCTCGGCAGGTGCTGGAGCTGGCGGGGAATGCTTCGAAGGATCTCAAAGTCAAGCGGATCACTCCCCGTCACTTGCAGCTGGCGATCCGTGGCGATGAAGAGTTGGATTCCCTGATCAAAGCCACCATTGCCGGTGGAGGTGGGTATCGTCCTTGCTGCCCCCTTCCCTTGTTCCTGTCCCTAACTGGGAATTTTAGTGAGAAGGCGGGGGAAGAATACAGGAAAACACATGGGAATTTGGCATAAATACCAGCGGCTCACTGCTTTCCCAGATCTGACTGGAAGGAAACGTTTGTGCCGGGTTATCACAAAACTCTGCTGGGAATTGAGATTTTCTTGGAGCTTTTTGGGAAGTATCTGATGGGAGTCCTCTTCTTCTCTCTGCAGGTGTTATCCCCCACATCCACAAGTCTCTGATTGGGAAGAAGGGACAACAAAAAACGGCATAGAGAGGAGGAAAAAAAAAAAAAAGCAGCCGTCTCCCTCCCGTCATCGTACTGTACCTGGGACAGAAGAAATCTTGGGGATACGTGGAATTTTTTTTAAGTCATAGTTCAAAGGAAGAGCATAGACAATTGACTGTAGAGAGGAGAAAACATTGGTATGGGCTTTAGATTTAAAGTTTGACACAAAGTTGTACCTTGCCAGGCGGCAGCAGTCGGG